GGGGGGGTTCCCAGCCCCTCAGCAGGGTGAGCACCCCCTCCCAAGGGCTCTGCCTGGCTCCGGGGAGGTGTCAGACCCGGAGCCCTGCGGCCCCCCCGGGCCCTGCCACGAGGGACAGGTTGAAAAGCGTGTCTGGAGTCCCTCTGGGCAGGAGCCCCCAGGCCGGGGGGGGCTGCAAAGCCAGACCTCCCTGGAAGTGAAGCCACGTGTCCCTCTGGATGGAACAACCTGCCTGAGACCTCCTGGTGACCGAGTCCCTGAGGACCCTGGGGCCTCCCGGGGCTGAGAACCAAGGATGGGGACGCTGCTCCACGTGGGAGCTGAGGGTGGCCCCCAGCACTGCAGTGTCACAGGCTTGGTGACAAGAGCAGCTCCCCTGGACTGTCCAGTGGTCATCAGCTGAGGCACAGGGAGCAGTCAGGTTCCTGCTTTCCAGGAGGAGGCAGGACTGCCTGCCGTGGATCTCCAGGGCCCACCCAGGAGGAGGACCAGGCACAGGTACACCCACAGCATGGCTGGGGGGGACAGGCTCGGGTGGAGCCCCCAGACCCAGGAGCAGAGGGTGTCCCCTGGGGTGGAGGCCCCTGAGGGGAGCTCTGCTGACCAGTTTTTGGGGAGAGGGGAGTCCTGCCCCTTCCTGCCTGCTCAATCACAGGGTCCTGGGGCTCGAGGGGACTGCAGGGGGTCTCTAGCTCAGCCTCCTGCTTGAGGCAGATAAGCTGTGGGCTCTGCCAGGCCTGCTCAGGGCTTTGTCCAGTCCTCACCATCACCTCCTCTTCACAGGTGCTGGGGGGCTGCTCTGAGGCTCTCCCTGAAACCTTCCCTTTTCCCAGCCCCATTCCTCAGGCTCTGCTCATGGGATGTGTGCTCCAGCCCTGACTGCCTTGGTGGCTCCCCGCTGGCCTGGGTCCATTTCATCAGCCCTGGGAGGGTCTCCTTGGGAAGGAGGGAGAAGGGAGGAACGAGCAGAGAGGTGAGGAACAGCATCTCCCTGCATCCTGCTGCTGGTGGGATGTTCTGAGCTGGGTGGGGTTGGTGGAGGATCTGCTTCTGGTGATTGAGGATGTGCTGAGGGGTTGTGTGATCCTGTGGGTTGTTGCTGAGGGGTTGTGTGGTCCTGTGGGTTGTTGCTGAGGGGTTGTGTGATCCTGTGGGTTGTTGCTGAGGGGTTGTGTGGTCCTGTGGGTTGTTGCTGAGGGTTGTGAGGAGCTCTCACAGCAGCACCACGCTCGTCAGCCAATAAACGATCCAAGGGAAGTCTGCTGAGTGTTTGGTCCATGGGACACTGCTGTGGGATCTGGGCACAGCATCTCCACAGGGCTGAGCAAAGCTATTCCTCAGTGCTTGCTGCTGAGGTAGGAAAGAGCAGCTCAGTCTGTAGGAACACAGGCAGGGAGGCAGAGGAAGGGCTGGTGGCCTGGGGTTTGCAGGCAGTGTCACTGCTCCCCCGGGCAGGGAGGCTGCAGGACAAGCTGCTGAGAGCAGGGGGTTGCATCTAGATGATCTTTGAGGTCCCTTCTAGCCCAAACCAATCTGATCCTATGAATCTGAGCCTGTCCAGCTTCACTGGGATGTCAGCACAGTGACGTTCTATGGCAGAGAAGCTGGAGTGCGATTTGGACACTAGATGGAGACAAGAGGGTTAAGGATTGCCAGGAAAACGGGGCCCTGTTCCCTCACACCAGGTGGAGGAGTCAGAGCCAGGAGTCACCAGCACAGGGAGTCAACTGCTCAGGCTCTGGGCAGCTGCTCAGGGCAGGGCTGGAGTGCTTGAAAGATGAAGCCTCTGAAAGGGAAGAAGAGATTTTTGTCTGAAAAACAAGTGGGCAGTGGCTTGTGTGGCCAGTTTATCCCCACTGCAGTGTTCAGGCTCCAAGGAATGGAGGGGGAAGCTGGAGCCCACCACACCAGCCACACACTTTCCTGTCCTACCCTGGCCCAGGGTGTCCCCGAGGCCTTTCAGGAGGTCAGAACTGGCCCTTCCTTGATGTCTACACCACAAAGACAGTGTTGGTTCTCATATAAATGTGTTGCTTGGATTTCACTCTTGGGTTCTCACTTGAATTGAAGGCTTTCCTGCTGTCCTGTTCTCCAAGAGCTGTGCAGTCCATGCTGTGCTGCTGCTGTAGGCTCTGTCTCTGGGTGCTTGTGTGGAGCAAACACCAAGTGTGAATAAAATGAGGTGGGAAATGTTGGTTCCTACCTCCAGATTCCCCCTGTCTAACCTCACTGATGCTTAACTCAGGTGAGAGTTGATCTAGAGGCTGCGATAACCAGTGGCACTCCTGCCTGCTGCTGCTTTACTTCATGGTTTTCTATCTACTCAGCAGGGTGTAAGTCACACTTCCCACTCAACCCTGACTCCTTGTCTTGTGTCTCTCAGCCAGTCTGGGAACTGCTCAGCATCCACAACCAGCTGTGCCCAGCCCTGAGTGCTGCCAACAACTAGAACAGCTGGTTTTATGTGTGGGCAGCACTATGTTTGCTGAGTCCACACCAGCTCCCTTGTTTGTCAGCTTGCTGACAGCCAGTGCTGGTTCTCAGTGCTCCAGTACCAGTGGATTGAGTTGTGTCCTTCTGTGCTGAGCATCCTGTCCTGCTGCAGCTCCTTGGGGAATCCTGCACCTCCTGGATCTGCTGTTTCACTGTTCCTTGATTGCCTGTGGGTCTTTTAAAGCTCTTGTTTGAGATGTCCCATCACATTGTCCTTGTAAATCCCACCCTGGAGGGTGACACAGAAGTACCACGGAGAAGGAGAGGCCACAGGGAGGCAGAAGAAAGGCTCTTTTGCAAAAATGTTGGTTAATTTGAGACTGGGTATTTCTGCTTAGCTAGCAAGGGGGATGATCCAGCTGGACAGAGGCCTCAGCTACTTGAGTCCTGCTGGTGGCAAAGTCAGTCAGAGCCACTGGGCAGTGCTCGGTGGCTTCACCAGGCTGGGAGGGCCCGTCCCGGGAGCTGCTTCAGTGGGAGAAACGCTCAGCCTTGACCCCGGGTTTAGCCCCTACACGCTGGGCTGCTTCCTTCCCGCTTGAGAGGCCTCAGCGATGGACGCGATCCGGGTTCTGGGGAGCACCGACAGGGCAGGGCGGCCCCTCACGGCACCGGCTGCACCCGGGCCCAGCTCTTCCCTGCGGCCACCGACGCCCGGCTGGAACTCGGGGGGGCCGGGACACAGGCCCGGGAACAGCCCCCCAGGGCCCGGGAACAGCCCCCCAGGCCGGGCCGGGGTCTCCCCGGGACAGGCCCCGCCGGG